GCCAGACTTTATTCTAGTTTATGTCGGTGACAACGTTCGAGTAAATTTTACCGTTTACATTGAGATTACTTAATACAGCTACATAATTATGTAATGTGTATAGTATTGGGGATAGTACAGTACCACTGTGACTTCCACTAAGAATTCGGCCTATTTCACTTATTTTGTTACCTATTATAACCTATTGGGTTCTTTAGTATAATTTGAAAATTTTAAATGGGGTCCCAGTAATGCCAAACGAGTTTAAACTATTTACCAAAGTTAAATGACCTATACTGTCAAAGACTTTGCTTTGGTCTAGAAATATGCCAATAGTTTTATTATGATTGTCCTAAGTTGTTATACATTTCATTAGTAAGATGCGTCAAGGAATTTTCCATACCTAATCAATTTCCAAAACTGTATTGAGAATTAGGTAGTAAGTTGTTTTTTTTAATTAGTTTAGAAATCTTATTTTAATAACTTTTTAAAGCACCTTAGAATATACGTTTAATAAACTAATAGGTCTATAGTTAATCAAATTCGTTTTAAGCCCACCACCTTTATACAACGGCACTGCTAATGCATTTTTGAATGAATCCGGAATAATTACACATCTTATATCTGTCCTACTACTGTTGTAAGTACGAGTATATTATTTTATATATTATTGTTTTTTTTTTTTTTTTTTTTTTTTTTTTTTTTTTTTTTTTTTTATATAGAAAATATAGGTAGGTCCGGGGCATACCAGGACTATCTTCTGGCTACACCTCTGATTTTTACTATACTAAAAGGACTAATATAAGTATAAGCATAAGTATTTAGTGAAAATGTTCAGTTTCTACGATTGTTTCAAACTGAATTTAAAAAACAAATATCTAAACCTACCTTCTAAATCCCTGGTACCATTTTTTTGATTTTTGGGATGTACTTTAGGTTTTTAAGTAGATGAATTCCCCAGTCAAAATTTTAAAAACTTTTTGTAGAGTTTTGAACTTAGTTCATACTTTAAAGTTGTCACTATTTGAAGGACCACATTGACTTTTCGTATAAATGATAACAAAGCTAATATAAAATATAAGCAATGGATTGAAACATAATAATATGTAGTTAGGTATTCTATTTTTTCATAATGATAAATAATTTGATATTTATTTTTACATCAAGTCTTAAAAAAAAAAAAAAAAAAAAAAAAAAAAAAAAAAAAAAAATAGATTTTTTTCTAATAATTATCAATACAATGTTTATAATGTTAAAAAGTACATAGTACGATAGTATAGTTACATAGAAAAAATATAATATAATATGATTAATATGTTATTTTTTTTTGTTTTCAGGAACTACCAGGCAGTGCTTTTAAAAAACCAACAGTAAACTGCAGCAAAGTGAGTAAAAGTGACGGCGAGTATTAACTACGCATATTATTACCGTTAAAAATATTATAATTTTCTGATCTATGAATAAGTTTCGTATTTTTTGTAATAATATTATTGTTCTGAGATTACTATGTATTTATAACTTAACTTACTATGTTTTAATCGGGCGTTTAAAAACAATATTGTACGTATCTATGCAAATGTTTTACTGTTATTTCATGTTAAAACCAAGAAACACTGAGTGAATAATACAAACTATAAAATGAATAAGTGCATTTTTTTTTTTTAATTCCGTTTATATACGTCTGGGCCAGGGACAGGAAAAATTATTATTATTTCGAATAATTCGAATTAGTTCACCAAAACAATTTATTAATTTTGATTTGTTCACTGATCCATTTGATTCACTGTCTTAATCGATTTGAATTCGAATCGGCGTTATCAATGTTACCACGAATCTCATTTGAATTAATAGCTAAATTAGTTTTGTTTTTTTAAATAACGGTACATTATTTTTTTGTGTATTCTATAGACAATCGTGTAAAATCTAAATGCATAAAGTGCACACTTTTTTGTTAAAACAAATGTTTTATATTATTTATTTTCTTCATCTTGAATGTTTTGAAGTGAAAATCGTAACACTTAAGTAAAAGTATATTTACAATCCATAATATTATTTTTGTACAATAAGTAAATTTTTAGTAGCACAAGTAAAAAACAACAACGCTGAAACTGAAACTACGCGCGGAGGATGGCCCATTAATGTGGAAACCATCTGAGATTTCTATTTTTACACGTTTAGAACTTAATCTCGCTAAATCTCTAATTCACATTTGGTTACTCAGTCATGATTCGAAGAAATTCAAATGAAATAAGAACGAATTTATCGAATGAACCATACACCAACAACCTATCCCTAATTAAAATTTAGGCCTTAATTATTTTTTTTTATTATGTATACCGGTATGTATAAAAGTACGTGCTTTTCGACAAAAAAAAGATTCGAACAATATTTTCATGATTTTTTTGTACCATCCAGTGGCGTATTTATTTTTTCCTTCTGAAAAGTGATAACAAAAAAAAAAAAAAATGGAACACTGCTACCCTTTATTCGGTTTCTTACATTCACGTTTGGTCTTCCAAACATCGTCTATTGAGTATAAGTACGTATATAATGTTACGATTAATGATACAATTTGCTCATGGTTTTTTATGGCATAGTTCTGTTGTTAACGTACAGTTTATTGCTGTAGCAGCATTGTATGCTTACTTTACAACATCGCATTTTGTCGCACGTTTCGCAAATGGGGTATCTACAACAACCCATTAATCCTCTTGATTAATTTCGATAATTTCGATGGTAATATTGTAGGACGATGCCCGGCATCTTTACCGGGGACGATATATTCTGTTAGATATTTATTAAGCTTTTATGCTAGTTAATTTGTTTTCGGTCATATTTATATTATAATACACCGTTTCCGATACATTAATGTATACCCGAGTTTGAGTAGGTTATACTGTACCGTGTTCAAATCGATTTTAAGGTGAAAATAATAATTTGACGAAAAATAATACTTTCTTGTAATTAATGATATTATTGTTTTCGAATTTCGTACATTTTTAAGGTTCACAGGACATCGAATCATACGACTTTAAAAGTGTTTTACAATAGAACATTTTTACTATGCATTAATAAATTTGATTTTAAAAGAAATACTGTATATTGTTTCAAATAATAACATTTTTCATGTTTACGAATGTATTCATTTTTAACTATATCTACTCAATACTCATAATATTTTTTTGTAAAATATTTCTATCCTATATTTATTATTTTAATTATTTTATCATTTTTTTTTTTTTTTTTTGGTGTAGGTATAAACATTAACATAATTAAGATACTGTTTTCAAAATGTCATTTAGACATTTCATAACAAGTGTTCACCTGTAAAACTGATTTTAAAGGCCTTACTGTTTGGCGATAATTAAATAGTGAACACATTTTTATTACATTATCCGTTAGAAAGACGAAAACGACAAATGATACTGCGACCGGCCTTTTGAGTATTCGCAGTAAGTACCTATCTAATGCAGTAGTTCCCTATTTATTCCATCCTTGGCCTTCCTCTCTTAATTTTATTTTATAACGTATACCTTACCTTCAATATAAAACTTCAACAATCACGGCGTGATACGTGACTTGTCATATATTGTCCCTTATAATCATTATAGTTAGTCAAAGTTGTATTTTTTCCTTAATTATTCTTAAAACGTCTTCGTTTGTGACTCTGTCACACCAGCGCGAAATCTCGAGTATTTTACGGTAACACCACATTTCAAATTTTTCTAGCTTTCTCTTATCTTAAAAAATTGATTTAACCCGATAAAAATCTGTCGACGCAAATATCAGCAGGCGACGTAGAACGTTTCACTGCATAATTATAATATGTATCGAATAGTGTATAATAAATATGTTGCCCACTTCGAGTGTTCAGAATGATGACACGGGACGGGTATTGAAAAAACTATAACATAGTAATATTTATATCGAAAATAAAATCTCATGGTTTTATGGTCGTTACCCACAGTATACTCCCCGAAACTCGGGCAGTGTGTGACAATAAAAATTATAATATATAGTTTCTAAATTTTCCGAAAAGCCGAGCAATAGTCCGAACGTGTACGTGAACGCAGCTAAATTAACCGGTATAGACATATTATTATCATACAAATATATATTTTAATAAGAAAATAAACGTTTACTAGAAAATCGATACATAAATTGTACACCAACTTAAATAATTTAACGTCACCCTGTTCTCGATTTACCTCACGAACGTATACCAATTAATTCGTTGTGCATTAAAGGTTCTCAACCTTTTTTCAAAATTGTTTTGCGATGTTATGTTTGAATATCCGATGAGCGTATACCTATTATTCTTATATAAAAATAATTCAGCTGTTGTTGCTCACTTACTGTATGTAAAATTCAATGCTAATTATAAAATATTCGAGACACATAAAATGTAATTGCATATATATTTCCTTTGGTAACATCTGTTTCAGAAACGGATATAGAAGAATAACAATACAATAAACGAGATCAGTCTACATGGTATTTATGATTATAATAACATAATATTATATTATAATATTTGCCCTCGTTTCATCGAAACACGGTGCAGCGGTTCGAGTCCATTTCGTTTATAATGAGCTCAATAAACTTCGTCCCTGTTATTAATAGGTACTAAATTTGAATTTTTCTTGTAAATTTAACGATAATAAAAATACATTTGACGTTTCGCTCAAAATTTAATACAAGTATAAAAAGGAAAAATAAAGTTAAAAATATAGGTAGGCACGACGTACGTCGTAAAATTTATTTTTTCATTGAACAAATTTCGATTACTAATCAAACATATTGTTTTGCCGTAGATTTAACAGTTACACTATTTAATTTTTTTTTTTTCGCGGGCGTGTATTTATATTTATAATGATTATTGTTTTGGTAAATATTACTTTTAAGAGATTGTGAAAAAAAGCCCGAAATGCAACCAAAACGCATAAAAAACCTAATAAATGCCTCAAAAAAAAGCAAAATGACTTAAATATCTATCATAAAATTATAAATTTGGCATGAAAAAGATTTCTTTCAAACTGGCTGTTTTTTTACGACTGCGCAAAATAAATATGGAAATGCTAGAAGTCCTCTGCCCCAGTTATAATAATATTATACTATTTCGTCATAATAATATTATGTTGCCTAACAGTCAATAGTAAAATTCGTATCACGTAGAAACCGAATTTACTCTGTAAATCATTCGTTTAACTAAATGCTCTTTATTTTGTATTTTTGTGAAAATTGTCCATGAATTAAGAACAGCTCGTGATGCCACGGCGATAGTATAATACTTGTCTATAGACAAGCGTATCTCAGAAAGTCCCGCCAGATACGTCCCTCAACGAATATTTTTCTATAATAATATGTAACAGTAGGATATTAGTCCGCTGCGGACGCTGGGGATTAGTTTTATTATAATTGTGACTTTGGTTGCCATATTATTAAGATTCGTTATGCAACTATACTGTCTTAAACTGTACACGAGAGCTAGGGCAATTTGTATAGGTTAACCCATGGAATATTGAAATATGTGAATTTTGATGATATACGAGAAACTGTTTGCAATCAATTTTAAATATTTTTCATATTATCACAAAATTCATGGCGTAAGGTTAGGTTAGGTAGAATTGATGTCGTAAAATTATTTACCGTTCAATGGTACAGTAAATACGGTCAATCGAACTCACCGAGTTTAGGGGTTACATTTAATATTATACGCGTTCCTTAAAGTTTAAACTTACAATATTTTTACAAGCTAAACAGTTATTTGTTCAATTAATAAAATATTTTAACAAAACATGTCGCTTTATCGCTATATATCTAAGTACGGAATATACTGTGAACTTATGTTTATAAATATTACATACACTATTTTTTTATTTTATAACGTGTAAATATAATTTTCAAACATTGAAATTAAAATTAACATGATTTATTAATACTAGATAATATAATTAAATCGTATCGATTGTCAGGCGGTTTTTAGGAATTTGGATAGAATCTGCAGACGGTCTACACGGCATTGGATGCCATGTGAAATTAAAAAAAACTAGGTATAAAATATTATGATGAACAAGTGGAAGTTTGTAATATATTATATTTATGTAGGATGTGTGTGGTTTCAAAAATATATTTAGGGATATTCAACGCGTATATTCGTCAGGGAAGTGGGACGCGTATATTTTGGATCATTTTATAAAAACTAAACTAAAACGTTTTATAAACGCGTAAAATTAATATTATACAACAACGCACTGACGTTTACTCAACGTATGTATAATTTATATACGTTTTCAAAGAATTTTTTTTTTTATTTTGCTTTTAAAAAAATAGTGAAATGTTTTTAAATTTCATGTATGATATGCAATAAAACGTCATGGAGCGTAAATAATAAGACGTGTGCAATTTGCACACAATTTTGTTTTTTTTCATTCATACAGATTTAAAGCGAGAATTATTTCTAAACGAAAAAGTAAAATAAAAAAGTGGAAAAAATCATACGAACCATAAAGTCATAAATTATTTCACGGTATTCATAACTATGGAACAATATTTTAACTTTAAAGTAATAAATAACATATTATATTTCTATATTGGTCTATCGTGAATAAGTAATCAAACAAGTACCTATGTGCTAGCAGTGGCGTATTTCCTTGGCGGGGGGATTAAGATAATTCTCCATGGAAAAAACCATGAGGTGCTTTGTCCACACACCTCGTTGCAAAAAAGTGTCATACGCACTAGGAATTCTTTTGAGGTTCATCATTTATAACGACAGATTATTGCAGAAAATTATTAGCTGTATACTCGGATTTGTCCGTGTACAGTGTTAAATGAAAAAAAATAAATAAAAACTTGTCTTCCTGAGGAAACAATTGATTATAATAAAAATAAACGTGGGGGGTGGTCGATTTTCTTTCACTTCCTGTATATGCGCCACTGCGTGCTAGTGTAATGTGTTGTTTATTTTTCCGGAGGAAATTAAAAAAAAAAAAATGTGTACAAATAAGCACGAAAAAAAAAAAAATCAAAATTACGAACACAACAAAAACGTAACATCATGATTACATATTCGTAAATTTTAGTGCGAGATCAACATAATTATATGTATAATATAAAATAATATTAAACAGACTAGCATTTTAATCACAGTGTTTAAGTACCAGCGAAGAAACGATAAATTTCCACAGCTATCAGAATAATAAAATAATACGAGAATAACGTATCACTTGTTATCTCCTGCCACACATCTTACGTCCAACTTTATGCTGCTCTTGGACGTGGTTCTGGGCATTTTGTACCAGCTGGGTGGCATGTACTTAAGACTCTCCTGTCTGGTGGGCGGAAATTTTGTCTCCAGCGCTTTGGTTTCCGCAGTTTTGTGGCTGGAAGTTGATCCCTGCCTGTGCATCTTACTGCTGCCGCCGCCGCTGTATCCGAAGTCGTCGGGGTCGACCATGACGATCACCTCTTCCACGTCCTCGTCTTCCGTGCTTGAATAGTTGGTAGTCCTCGGGCCACCACAGGTCTTGTTCGAACGCGACTGGTTCCATCCCTTCTTCATGCCGTAGTCTCGCTCCAGCTTCCTGGTTTTTTTTTTCGATAGCAGTTTGGTTAGTTCGTTTTTAAATCTCGGGTGCGTAATAGCGTAAATCCATGGGTCTGTACAGCTGGCCGCCTTGCAGAGAAGCGCTGGAATCATCGAACCTAGTGGTGTGATATATTCCTTTTGGTCGAATACTCCCAGCAGAGCCACTACGGCGTATGGGGTCCACGACACGAACCACAGCACGATCACCCCGACCACCACGTAACCCAGTCGTATCTCTGTCTTTCTCTTCTCCTCCTCCTGGCCAAAACGGCTGGCGGCCATTTCACTAGTTACCCACACAGCCATCAGTATCTTCACGTAACAGTACGATATCGCGGTGAACGGTATGCACCATGCCGCTGCGAAGAACACCAATATGAATCCTTTCTCCCTGTCGTCGTTTGTCAGGTAGTCGAAACTGCAACTAGTCAAGTATCCTTCGGGCACGTATCGGCTGTAACCCATATCTAGCACCGGTATGACGGAGAACAAGAACCCGTATACCCATATCAAACCTATCCATACTCTGGCCCTTTGTTTGGTGGTTTTTACGGCCGCGTTCAGGGGGTGTACAATAACGTAGTAACGGTCTAACGATATGGCGGCCAACGTCATTATGGACACGGTACCCGTCAAGCCGCCAAAAAACCCGTAGATTTGACAGCCTATAGCAAAAAAATCAAAACATTTATGTAAAAGCTCAGTGTTTTTTATTTGTTACCTACCTAATTTTCCAAGTGTTGGACCTTGGTAATAACTGTTGTAAATGAAAACCGGCGTTTTCGCCATCATGATGAAATCGCTGACGGCCAAGTTCATTATTAACACGTTCGCCGGCGTTTGCAATGACTTACATCTGAAAAAAATACACACACAAACATATCCATGTTAATTGTATAAAACGCGATTAACAGATTAAACGATTATAACGCTTGGCGAGACTAACTTGATGTACATGAAAATCACCAGCGAATTCCCGAAGCAACCGAATATCATAATGAAGGTGTACAAAACGCCAAGAACATAGTGGGACGTGGGATTGGGAGGCTTGAACGTAAACCAATGGCTGTTGATGAGTTCTATGTACTCGTCTGTATAGAACCCGTGATCCTTCCACATGTCCACCGGGTATTTGGTCTTGAAGTCTGCTTCGATCGATCTGTCCGCTGTATCATTCAGCGTGGTTTTAACGACGTTATACAGATTTTTCCCACCGGCACTGTCACTGTTCCCTAGTCTCTTGTCGGACTTAGGCCAAGCCGTGGTGGTCTGGGACCTAGAGTTGTTTTTTTTGGGAACGAGTTTTGCCGATTTCGTCGTAGGGCTCATACGTTTTGGTGTTTTTGTGACTACAGTGGACTTTTGGGGTTTCGGCTTTGGTGTGATTTGTAAATTTGCAGTCCGCGTGTTTCTACTCAAAACGGCTGGTAAACGTGTCGTAAAATCATCGTTTACCGCTGCAGTTTTACTGAAATTGCACCGCGCCGTAACGCTGTTGTTGGTGATATTGGATTCAAAGACGCAGTCACGAGTTGAATTCGAAATGTTGTCCGAATTCGATATTTCAATTGTCCAAGAAGCGTCATTAGTGAGAAGTGATACTTCAACCGTGGTCGTAGACGGAAAATCTGTTTCGTTTTCGTTTCGAAAAACATTTTTACAAACAGTTAGTTTATTGAATAGAAAAAAAGTCATGCAAAAGAAAATGCAGCGTGGAGACAATGTCATGGTTCGTTTTTGTCACCTCATAGCTCTCCACATCATCGATAGTTTTACTGGGAACAAAACAAAACATACGAGTACACATATAATAACAGTTGAGTTATAAAATGCGAACAAATGTAGAAAAAAGAAGGGGAAGTGAAAGATTAAAAAAAGATGGTTAAATATTCAATTATATGAGGACTACGTTAATGTGTGTACTGTGTACTGTGTATAGAAGATGTGGGAGTTTGTATTCGATGATAGAGATTTCGGATAAAGGTGGCTGATCTCAAATGCAGTTCGAGAAAAGAAACTAAGAATTAGTAAAAGGAGAACATTAAATTTAATTAAAACAACTACTCGAGTTCCTATACTGAAAGTATATAATATGTAGATTATTTGTGATAATGTATATAATACTTTGAATGATCGGAGTCGAGGAATTATAGTATCGCATAAATGTACTGACATTTAACATTTTAACTTTTCGATCCAACGGTGGTATCCCTAGGGGTATTCTAATGAACCGAGGTTCGGTTGTTCGGCAAAAGTCGGTGGTTTATTTAAAATATTGTGATGTAATTTCTGATTTAAATTCGGTAGAATGTTCCGAAACTCTATTATAGTCAAATATAAAGTAAAAAATACAGCTACATTTAAAAAGATGTGGTTATATTTAGAGAAGGACAAAAAGAAAAATAATAACTGGTATTACTACGAAAAGCCGTATACTATATAAAACGTTGTAGGTTACAAAATACAAATATATTTCTTTGTAATAAGTAACACGTATTATTTCTTTACAATATGAAATTATAAAATAAAGGAAACCATTTAAACACGAGTGTAATACTTACAAATCGGTATGAAAAAAACGGTATACAAAACATGCTACTCTTTTTTGTACAAAAAAATGTTGAATTGTAAGTACTGTTGCAAAAGGACCGAAAATAATAATAATAATAATAATAATAATAAAAAGAGCTGATATTGGGGATGGGTGTGCCACTGTTGTAAGTAGGAAGTTGGGAAGGTAGGACACATAAAGTTATTTCATTTATATCTGTACGCGACGATAAACCATTGAATTTATTTGAAATTATGCATAATTTGTAACCATCGATAAACCGATGTTAACGAAAAACGATTCGGAGCGAAGTTCAGTTATATATGTTTTGAAAGGCCGTAATATTTTCGATTCGAGTCAAAATTTTGTATTGAAACTCTCATAAAAAAAAAAAAATATAATAAATACTACATTACACAAAATTTTTTTTTTTTTGAACGCGATGTATATTTTCAAGAATTTTTTTTTGTTTACAATTTGATTTAAAAATTTTATCTATAGAGAACCTACCAAATGAAAATTAAAAAACTACTAAGAAAATCAAGAAACAATTTTCTTAGTCACCGACAAGATTAAAAATTCAACTAAAAATATCTGTTTTTGTTTTTCTATTGGAGTGATATTTCTGGTAGAAAACTTAAGCCGTACAAATTTGAAATAAAGGAGTCTTAGCGTCGTAACTTGAACAAAATCGTAATTTTTTTTATTTTTCCCAATTATTTTGGAAATTACCTTAGATATGAATAATCATTATCTTTGTTAGTAGCTATATGTTCAAAGGAATAAAATCGATATTATCATTTTTCGTTTGGAGTAATATTTCTGGTAGAAAACATAAGTTGCAAATATTAAAAACAATGAAATCGGTAACGCCACGACGTGCTATAAATATTTGCCGATTTATCTATACTTTTCTTTCTGATTTTTCCCAATTATTTTGAAAACCCGTAAGAAAATCAAAAAAAGACCTTCGCACCAATTAGAAAAAAATATCTTTCAGAAAAGATGCTATACTCTATGCATAGGAGCAAGATTTTTGGTAGAAAAGTTGTTCAAAGACCCCCTCTCCACAAAAAAAAAAATAAATAAAAAAACACATTATAATCTAAAAAAAATTATAAAATAAAATCGAATATTTATATATTTTAATATCCGTTAATGCCGTGAACTTCCGTATTGCTGGTTTTTTCAATTGTTAAGAAAACAAAACGCAAAGTCATAAAGCGAACTTTATATGCCCTAATTAAATAACATTTTGCTCGGGAAATATGCTACTCTTAAAATTTAGAGCAAGATTATTATAGAGAAAAATCTAAAATAATGAAACTTCCCGTTTGCAAGACTGCAAAACTGCAAAAAAGCACCGTTCATAGTAACGAATCCCTCTATACATTCTCCGCTGCGTTTAGAGTGCTTAAAAATTGTTTTGATCAAATGAACGGAGCACACGCTATATGTTATACGAGTACATGATGCAGTTTTTTCTAAGTTTTTACAGACTACAGTAAAATATAGTTATTATTCCTGATGCGCGGTATAATAATGCCCAAGATCGTTGCATCCCGAGCGACATTTACGGTTTTTAAAACGCACACCCATAAATTATTTTTGTACATATATCTTTGCAGTGATTTGGATTTACAATTATGCGAGTTTTGAAAAAAAAAAAAAAAACACAACGCACTCGTTATCTCGATACGAATAAAGACAGGCTGACTTTATTGTGAAGTAGTCTTACTCAGTCGGTATCGTGTATATTACGTATTGCGCTAAGAGCCGCGGGGATGAAAAATAAAATTGTGTGCGCTTTGGGAACGTGACCTATAAATATATAAGAAATCTCTTTCACCACTCGGGCAAGTGCGTCGTCGAGCGTTTTCGCCGCATGCGACACGCAAAGTTCAACAGTGTAGTCCTTATACATTATGACAAATATATTACACACTTCGTATAAAATATACCGTGCTAATGTATTAGTGTTATTGCGGAAAACGAACGAGGTAAAAAAAAAATAATAATAAAAATCCGAGTGGTGGCAGTGATATTAGATTTCTGTCGAAAGGAAAATAATACGCGAAGCACAAAAGCCTTGGATAATTAGAAAAAAGAAACATGAAAAATATTAATATTTAATTTTCGACTATTTTACAGTATGTTATTTTTTCAATTTCTAATGTTTTATTTTGTGATTCAACAACTTGAAGTGGTTAAAGTGAGGAGATGGGACAGTATTATGAAAAGTTCTAAACAAGACTTTGGCGAATTCTCCCATCTCGAATGTGCGTGGGGACAACAGGTGAGAGGTGGTACAATGATGCATGGTGTTTATAGATGACATAGCTTTGATAGGATCAAATCTGGAAGAACTTAGACGTATGCTTGAGGAGAGTAGCATTTGAAGGACATGGGCTAAGGACGAGTAGGAGTAAAACAAAGTATGAGTTTGGAGGAACAGGACAACATAGCTAACGATAATAAGCAGTAATAGGCAAGTTTGAGGGATTTAAGTACCTAAGATTTTTTGAACAAAAGAATAGTGGGTTTTATAAGGATGTGAAACATAGCATTAAGTATGGTTAAATAAAGTGAAGAGAAACGTCAGGTTTTTTATGTGACAGCAAAATTCTAATGAACTTAGAGTTAAGTTCTACAAAGTCATGGTAAAATTGACTATGTTGTATGGTCTGGAGTGTTGGGCAGTTGACAAAAAAATAGAACAAAGAATAAGTGTATCAGAGATGAGAATGCTTAGGTGAATGAATGAAGTGACGAGAGAAGATAGGATAAAGGACGAGTAAATAAGAAATAGATTAGGTGTGGCTTAGATATTAGACAAAATAAAATAAAATAAACTGAGATGGTTTGAGTTTTTGGTTAGTCGATGTTTTACAAAGAATATTTCTCTAATACAAAATACTTGGAGGGGGGGGGAATTCGGCTCTACTAACGGCTTTTCTGCTGCTCACGGGTGTTTTGTAATTATCAGTGAAATATGAAACTATTGAAACGGTTAATCACATTATTATGTACCTACAGTCGATACTACCTGACCAAGACCCTCGCAAATATTATAATTATTATGCATTAGACGTTGTAAAAATTGTAGCTGAGCTTAAAATCAAAACGGAAAGGTACATTTTAAACAAAGTTTATCACAAAACTTCACCAATAATCCGCACTATACATTCCAGTCTGTCGACGAGAAGTCACAAAACAGAGTTTTTTTTTTTTTTTTTTACATAGTAATAGCAACAAAGCAAGCTTTTAATTCGAAAAAAATGTCGTTCAAGTACAATGACATTATAATTTTTTTTCCTCGACGGTCTGCAGTAGGCGTTTATAATATTATTATTTTATACAATAGCGATTTCAATTATGCTTTTTTTTTATTGGATCGTATTTTAATTTTTTTTTTTCGATTATTAACAGACATTATAATATAAATTCCTCATATAAAATTTGACGAGCGACAGTAAAAAAACAAAAATGACCGGAAATTGAGTTTATTTAACATGTGTGAATTCTGAATATATTTATTTATTTTTTTTTTTTTTGTACGGCCTAGAATAATTGGGTTTGACAATTTTGTCATCATTAAAAAAAAAAAAAATTAAATTTCATGTCCATGATATTCGAGTGACGCAGCACGGTGTATTGGGAACTTTAAATTATTTTTTTGTAATAAATAGTAATAGATAATATTATCCACTATACGATGATAATTGTCTAGCCCTTCACATGCCTGTGCAGCAGTTGCAGAACTGAATGCGGGCTCTACTGTACAGTGTACACCGTACTCGTTTACATTAAAACTGATTATCGTATTCTTATCACTTCGTTCAAGCAATTTATTTCTATTGATATCAGACCGTGTATCCGTCGTTATGTACAAGTACAACTCGCATTATTTGCAAACTGCAACGATTATTTGAAACCTACTCCCTAATTCGTATTCCTTAATATTAGAGCAAACAATTTTCGAATAGTCTCATCAAAGGTAAGTGAATATACTTTTTTACGTAATAGAAATAAAATAGGATTCACACACGTTATGGTTTTATAGCTTATTTAGGTGGCAGACAAATATTTTTCACTCGGGTCTAGTTTATTTATAAATGTTGTTTTTACAATACAATTTAACATACGCATTCATAATAGATTTGAAAACGCCGATATA